AGCTAATGAATTAGAACCATTGGGTACTAACGAATATCCTGCACTTGACATTATTCCTCTTGGCACTTTCATCTCTCTGAGAAATGCTGCAGCACAGCAAAGTTTGACACAGCCACTACATACAGTTAAAAATAATTCAATAATTCAAGAAACATCTGGACAAACAAGAAACACAACATCTCGACACAATGGCTGCCTTTGCAGGAAAACAAACTGTAAGACCAAGAGATGTTTATGCCGTAAGAATAATTTGCTTTGTACTAGGCATTGCGGCTGTGTGTTGAGGGGTGAATGCAACAATCATTAACAGTAATATGAACTTAGAATTACTGGCAATTTATTGTCATTAGATAGAATTAAATATTGTAAATTGAGTTTGCTTAATTTCACCATAAACTATTAAAAAAAATGGTTATTAACCATAGAGCGCTGGAATAAATATTCAAATAAAAAATATTGTGCATCATGCTGCTTATTTTTTACATTCGTATTTTTATTTTTATTTTTATTTTTTTTTATTTTTTTTATTATTATTTTTTTTATTTTTTATTTTTTTTTTATTCGGTATCGTAATCGTTGACGATATACTGATCATGATATAATATATGTCAAATTATGATTCCAAAGTGACTTATGCCAATTCAAGATTAACAGGAATTCCAAAGTGATGTATAACATATACAACATTATACTTCCTAGAACTACATGTAATTCAATCCTCTCACAATATCTAACTACAGCTAAACATAAAGCCAAATTACCTATTACTATACCTAACAGCACATTACTCAATCATAATATATATGGTATTAAAAACATATAGGATATTCAACTACAACACCATATCTCCAACTTCTTACTCTGCTTAAATGATCAAGGTTTTATGGGCTCAAGTACTCATATACGACTCCAACAATTACAAAACAATCTCTGGTCTACAACTAATATTCTTCAACACCCAAACCCACAAATTGACAGGCCTAACTAAAATATAACAACTTTCAAAATTATACAACTATTTAATACACTTCAATTATCTATTAATATACATGCAAACTATCTTCAACTATACACACTCTAATACCCTTACACACCTATAGAAAAGTTTCTTAAAACACACAGATCATACCTACAATTCAAAAAACAACTACGACTAAAAAATATTATTTATCT